ATTTTTGATCAGGTTGTTTTTCTGTTGTTGTTAAGTTGTATGAGTTCTTTATGTATTTTGGAGATCAACTCCTTGTCTGATAAATGATCTGCAAATATTTTCTCCCAGTTGGTGGATTGTCTTTTCATTTTGTTCATCGTTTCCTTTGCTTTGCAGAAGCTTTTTAGTCTGATGTAATCCCATTTGTTAACTTTTTCTTTTGTTTCCCTTGGCCGAGTAGATGTGGTATTCAAAAAGGTGTTGCTAAGACCAATGTCAGAGAGTGTGCTGCCTATATTTTATTCTAGGAGTTTTATGGTTTCGGGTCTTACATTCAAATCTTTAATCCATTTTGAGTTAATTTTTGTGTATGGTGCAAGATAGTGGTCTACTTTCATTCTTTTGCATGTGGCTGTCCAGTTTTCCCAACACTGTTTATTGAAGAGACTTTCCCTTCTGCATTGTATGTTCTTGGCTCCTTTGTTGAAGATTAACTGTTCATAGATGTGTAGTTTAAAAGCATATTTTTGATTTAGCAACATTGTACTGATGTAGAGTTTAATAAGCTAATTAAATTGTAAAATTAATTGTCCCTGTCATTCTTAAACCCATCAAGCAGCTGGACATCAGGGTTAAAATAAGTTTGTGTGTCAATATTATAATTACTTCATAGTAGTCCTTATAACTGTAATATTCTTATTTTTGCTGATTAAAACTCTGATGTTGAATGTTGGTATTTATTAATATAGGAAGTCAATATTTAGAAATTAGAAGCACTTTTGATCTAAACAGCTTTTGCTATAATTTGTTAGCACCATAATGCAATATAAGATTTTTAGAAATTGAAGTAATTAAGAAAGCTTCTGAAAGGAAAAGAGAAAGACCTGTGGAACTTAAAAGAATGAATTGTAGAAATGCAGAAATCTAAATTAAATTTTCTGTCTTAGTGAATTGTTTTGTTGTTTAGGGATGCTCTCAACTTTGTCATCTTCTAAGAGAAAAAACATGGGGACTTCCCTGATCCTAAGCAGGAGTCAGGGAAAATACTTGGTATTAATAGTGACCAGCTTTGGATGTTCAAGCTACAGGGGAGGCTATGTCTGTTGCTCTGAAATGGAATACTCAGACCAAGCAAATTTTGGCCCCTTTGAAACTTCTGTGGCTTAGATGACAGAAACAACACCCAGTGGCTAAAGAGTAGCTAAAACTTCTTGGTAGAAATACTAGTAACTAAAATGAGTGAGTTAATTTTGGACTCAGAATGTGTGTTTGTAAAAGTAAACTGAGGACCTAAATGCCCAGAAACTGATGATTGGATAAAGAAGATATGGTATATATACACAATGGAATACTACTCAGCCATAAAAAAGGACAAAATTGGTCCATTTGCAGCAACATGGATGGACCTCGAGGGTATTATGTTAAGCGAAATAAGCCAGACAGAAAAAAATGAACTCTATATGACTCCACTCATAGGTGGAAGTTAACATATTGACAAGGAGAACTGATCGGTGGTTACCAGGGAAAAGGGGGGGGGGGGGGAGGGCACAAAGGGGGAAGTGGTATACCCACAACATGACTAACAATAATGTACAACTGAAATCTCACAAGGCTGTAATGTATCATAATCTTAATAAAAAAAAACAGCAAGAATAACCCAAAAGTCTGGTGATAAAAGAGATACAATAAATAAAACAGAACAAAATGTAAAAAACAGAAAAAAAAAAAAAAAAAGTAAAATGAGGAATGTGTTAATTGAGTAACTAATTTGATTGGATTATAATGATCAGATTTAACAAGCATCTTAAACTAGCTTATGTTTCATCACTTTTTGAATATTATTTTAATATTTAATAATAATTTTCTTGGACAGCTAAAGTTTTGCATTGCTTTTTTTTTTTTTTTTTTTTTTTGGTGGGGAAGATTGTCCTTGAGCTAACATCTGTTGCCAATCCTCCTCTTTTTGCTTGAAGAAGATTATCCCTGAGCTAACATCTATGTCAGTCTTCCTCTGTTTTGGCTTGGTGAGTGGTGTGTAGGTCTGCGCCCAGGATCTGAACCCGTGAACCCCAGGCCGCAGAAGCAGAGTGCACAGACTTAACCACTATGCCACCGGGTCAGCCCCTTGCATTGCTTTTTAAATGTTCTGTGCTGTAGGCTATGAAGGCAGATGTGAGATGGTTTGTGGAATGGATGATCTACATTTTAACTTTCTGCTTTGTTACAAAATTTGTACCAAATCCCTTTTGTTTTCCATTATTTAATTTACTTGCTTTTACTCTGAGAAATGCTTGGATTTCAATGGAAAAGCGTTCAAGTAGCCTGGGTTGTTAAAAATGCAACTTCTTGGCCTGCCTCAGATCTCTTAAATGACAGTCTGTAAAGTCTGGGAATCTACGTTTTTAACTAGTTTGCCAAGTAATTCCTTCATGTATTAAAGTTTGAGAATGGATTACCTCTGTAGAATATTTCTTCCAGGTTGTGCTGAGGACATACTGCTGTATATACTGCTGCAGCCTGCCTTCATTCTTCTACTTTTCTTTAGGTATTAATTTGAATCATCCAGTGATAATCTCCAGTTTTCTTTCGCTTAGCATATTTTACCTTCACCTTTCTCTTAGTTGATATGAAGAATTCTGTGTAATTTTGATATTTGAAGAGGGCGGCTTGTGAGCACTACCATCGTGTTAGATGCTCCAAGATGCTGAGGAAGTCATATGGAAAAGAAGGGGGACCTTCCACGACCAATATTTGTCAGTTAAGGATGAGGGTCTTAGTGGCGTGATCATCCCTCCAGTTATACAAATTATGTTGTTGGGAGACTGAAACTGAAAAGAGGTTGTCGTTCCAGGAAAGGTGGGGCTTCATGTATATCCTTGTTAAGAATATCTGTTCTGGACGTAGCCTTGGGATGTGCATTGCTTTAATTTCCCCGTTGATTGTTGGTTGATGTGAAATCAATAAAAATCTTCTAAGATTTTGAATAGGAGTTCTTGCTTTAAACTCTTTTAAAAATACAGATCTAATAACCTTTTCCGTGCACTAGGGTCTTTGTTGCTCCATTTGTTTGATCCACTAGACTGGAGATTCCCTGAAAGTCAGCAATCGTGCCATGTATATAGCTTGACATATTCTGTGGCACCCAGTTCTAGATCTTGCATATATGGCTTAATTGTTGAATGAATAAATCATGTTAATTTTTAATTCCTGGTAGGAATTTCTCCCATTGCAGTCCTTATTTTAGATATTCTTTACATTACAAACATGTAACTCAGTTGGTGTTTATACAAATGTCTTCTTACTAACCAGTTGTTATGTGGCCTAGATTTCTCAGAATAATCAAATATATGGCTTGTTGGTATAGTCACTTTGCTTTGGGAATTAATGTGTGATTGATTAAACTAAGCAGAACCAAACTTCTCCCTTAGGACTTCCCCTTTGTAGATCATAGTCTTGTGAATCCCAGCAATAAAGAAGGGAAAGTGTTATAAGGTATTAGGAAAAGTTACCTAGAATCTGGAGTCTCCCTGGTTCTTTGTTTACTCTACAGAGAGTAAACTGCCTGTCTCCTGCTGGAGGTAGGGAGTGGTAGTGGCCAGAGAGGGGAGGAGGGATCTGGGAATCCTATTCTCCCTTATCTGAACTTCTCAACCGGTTTTCCTGTTTTCATCCCTTTCCTTCAGTCCCCCTCTCTTCCCCTTATGTGGTCCTTGGTATAAGTGTTCTGAGCCTTTCTGGAACTCTAGGTAGGGATCCACTTTTTCCTGATAGGTATACATCCCCTACAGGCATTTAAAGGGCGTTGAACTCCTTAGTCAGTTACTTTTTCTTTTTCTGCTTTTTCATTCTTCCAAAAAATTATGGCCATCTCTCTTCTGTTATCTTTCTTGTTTTCTTCTTTATTCTGGGTTTATGAAGTTTATCAAGTTGGTGGATTTCAAGTGGGAGCTAAAGTAAATGTGTGTTCAATCCTCCCATGTTTTTGAGGATTCCATCTAGACCACTTCTTTCCATCTATTTGGAAGTACATGTTTTCTTTTTACATGTGTGAAATAAAAAGCACCCACTTGGACAAGTTTTTGACAGAAGTGTGTGTTTGTTTTAATTTTAGTTTTAATCATTGAAGTCTTGTGCCAGGAAATGGACATCCAGTCTTTTTAGTGCAGTTTGTGTTATGTTGCAGACTTCTTGGCACAATTTCTAATATTGGAGATTGCTTTATTTTGGTTCTGTGATCTCTATGGACCATTGTACTCCCAGAAATCTTATGAATCTTTAGCAAACTTTTTTTTATTATATTCATCAGTTACGGTAGTCAGCATTCTGTGATTTTAATTACTATAGAGGTGTCTTTTCCCTCCCTCTTCCTAATTTTTAGTAGGAGGTTTATTTCCCATCCTTGGAAGAATGGGATTGATAATACATCTGTGCTGCTATTAAAGAGAACTGTATTTTTATTCTTTTCATATTTTTCTTTGCCTTACCTATTTTATTTCTATTATTTATTAACCTGAAACATAATATTAACCCTAAAGTTAGTTTGCATACACATGTGATCTTTATTTTCCAAGTATTTCTTCTGTAATTTGACCTGCATTTCAATTGTATTTTTATGTCTTTATTCATACAGTATTGCATACTCTAATCTGGTGTTGGAAGCCTAAATTTGTTTGTGATATCTTATATACTAAAGTGTTGTTGATGGACATGGTTTACCTAGGGATTCTTCAGAGGTGGTTAAATCCTCAACGACCTTTGCCAAATTCTCATTAGGAGTCTAAGGGAGATTGCTGGTGTTACACTTCTATTTGGGTATTAGCAGGCTGCTTTCTGTTTTAGATTGAAGTTAAGAATAAATTATTGATTTTAAACTTTAGTATTTCCTTATATTTGCTATTTTTCCTTTCTTTCCTAGACAATTAAGTTAATGAAAAGATTTGCATGTGTTTTGATTTCAAAATGGCTCTGAATTATATTGAGTGAGCTAAAAATTTATGGAAAATTATGTCTTCTGTTTTCAGGTTCTGTTCTGGATATTATTAAGCACATTGTGGCAAAGGGGGAACACAAAAGTGGAGTCCTAGATGAACCTACCATTGCAACAATACTCAGAGAAGTGCTGGAAGGATTGGAATACTTACATAAAAATGGACAGATTCACAGGTACGTAAAAGACAAACTCTTCTCTTTCGGATAAGTGCTGTATCATTTCATTGAGGTCATTCCCCATTCTTTTGCAGAATTTATCATAATCTCTGATTATGGTTCTTTTAATTACACAGCTAGTAAGTATTTAAAGTATAGAGTAACAAATACTTTAATCAAATTGGAAAATACAAAAACAGGAGAAATTCCCAATTTCCTACCAGAAGGCAATCACTGAAAACACTTTGGAATATTCCTTTCCAGTTTCTTTTATGTGCTTAAAAATATTTGAAACAAAACTGTATATATACTTTTGTCTATTGCTTTTTTTTGTTTCTTTTGAGTATTTTCTCAAGTTATTGAAAGCTCTTTGTAAAATAGCTTCTTTTATTAAAGCTTCTTAAAAAAATAAAATAACCTTTAAAAAGTTATGTAGGAGCTGGCCTGGTGGTGTAGTGGTTAAGTTCGCATGCTCCGCTTTGGCAGCAGGTTTGGATCTCAGGTGTGGACCTAGCGCCATTCATCAAGCCATGCTGTGGCAGCACATAAAATAGAGGAAGACTGGCACAGACGTTAGCTCAGCAACAGTCTTCCTCAAGCCAAAAGAGAAAGATTGGCAACAGATGTTAGCTCAGGACCAGTCTGCCTCCCACACATACACAAAAAGCTGTGTAACATTTCATGGTTCAAGTATTTCCAGCTATCTGTATTCAGTCCCTGAGTGCAGATAACCAGAATTCAAATGGTGATGGATTCTGTGTTAATACAGATCTGTTTAGTCCCTGGATTTGGCGTGCTTTCATTTGAGGGTATCTTTATTTCCCCTTCATTCCTGAAGGATAGTTTCCCTGGATATAAGAATTTGTAGTTGACAGTTCTTTTCTTTCAGTGCTTGAAAAATGCTGTGCTACTTAATTCTGGCCTGTACGGTTTCAGATGAGAAATCATTTGAATTAGTGTTCTATAGATAATATGTTGTTTTTCTCTGGCTACTTTCAAGATTTTTTATTTGTCTCTGTTTTTCAGAAGTTTAATTATGGTATGTCTGGGTGTGGATTTCTTCAAGTATATTCTTTTTGGGGTTCCCAAACTTCTTGAATCTGTAGGTTTTTGTCTTTCACCAAATTTGGGAAGTTTTCAGCCATTATTTCTTGGTACTTTTCAACCCGTTTTTCCCCTCTTTTTCTGGAACTCTGATGACACAAATGTTAGATCTTTTATTGTCGTATCATGATCCCTGAGGCTCAGTTCATTTTTTTTCCAGCCTATTTTTTCTCTGCTCAGATTGAGTAAATTGTATTGATTTGTTCTCAAGTTCACTGATTCTGTCCTCTGTCCTGTCCCTTCTACTACAGAACCCGTTCATTGAGTTGTTTTTTTTCCTGAGGAAGATTAGCCCTGGGCTAACATCTGCTGCCAATCCTCCTCTTTTTGCTGAGGAGGATTGGACCTACTAACATCTCTGCCCAGCTTCCTCTATTTTATATGTGAGATGCCTGCCACAACATGGCTTGATAAGCAGTGTGTAGGTCCGTGCCTGGGATCCAAACCGGCGAACCCTGGGCCGCCGAAGTGGAGTGTGCAAGCTTAACTGCTGGGCCACCTGGCTGGCCCCCCATTCACTGAGTTTTTAATTTCAGTTATTGTAATTTTTCAGTTCTGTAATTTTCATTTGGTTCTTTTTTATGGGTTTTATTTCTTTGCCGAGATTTCCTTTTTTTCATTTATTTTGAGAATTCTAGATTGCAGGTTGAATAATTTTTATGATGGCTGCTTTAAAATTCTTGTCAGATAATTCCAACATCTGATCTCAGTTAAATGTTTCTTCTGATTAAAGTTTTTCCTGGTTCTTGGTTTGATGAGTGATTTTTTTCTTGTATCCTGGATGTTTTGGATATTATGTTAGGAGATCTCAATCCTATTTAAATAATATACTTTAGCAGGCAACTGCCCTGCTTAAGTTTAGAGTATAGGTCCTGGCCTACTTTTCTGGGCTGTATTTCCAGTGGCAATTTGTTTTTTAGACCCTTTGCAGTGCTGTTGTGGTTTGTTTTGTTCATGTAGCACTGCTGGGGCTCTCTCCTCAATCTCTGAATCCACCCATGGACAGAGTCCACTTGCCTCGTGCTGCTAGGTGGAAGGTGAGAGACAGATGCTGTGTCCATGGGTTTGTGAACACTTCCTTAGACCCACCCTGTGAATCAGCCCACTTAGTGAGAGTGGGGCTCCCATTCATTTTCTGTTTGTATTGCCTGTGGGGATGGAAGGCAGTTTTCTGGGCCACCTTTTGCTGCTGGGTGGGGAGTTGGGAGACACTGGGCCTGGGTTGTGTCTTCCCACTTTGTGGAGGGCCAGGAAGTACTGGGCTTGTGTTGCCCTCTTCTGCTGGGTGGAAGACTGGGAGATGCCAGTTAGGCCTGCTGGTGCTGCTGGTGTGGGCAGTGTGGGCCTGCCTGCTTCAATGGATGTGGTGTGAGGGATAGAGTTTCCTATCTGGTCTTCATGGACACCTCCAGTTCTGGCATACTGGGCCAGCCTGCATCTCCAGCTATGGAGTTGGGGACGAGGTCCTCTGCTAGATCTGAGCTCAGCTACCCCTTTCCTGCTCCTTTGGCCACAGAGAACAGGCTTGGAGCTTTTTTTTTTGTCTATGCCTATTGACGGTTCTGAGTTGCAGGACTCTCTAGTACCCAGTCCAGGGTATATGAGTTTAAAAGAAAACTCAGGGAAGTGTTTTGGTGCTATTTATAAGTGGGCTTAGATTAGATGTAAATGTGGATAGCAAACTCTAGGGCAACCATGAAAAAAAGAATAAGAATTGATGTGCTAAGAGAGGAGAAAAAAATGAAATCATATAAAATTTGTAAAATCATATAAAATTAAAATCAAGGAAGGCAGAAAAAGCGTGGAAGACACAACAAGATGTCATCTTAAAAATCACCTACCTTTAAGGAACTAGAAAAAGAAGAACAAACTAAGCCCAAAGTTAGCAGAAGGAAGTAAATAAAGACCGGAGCAGAAATACATGAAATGTAGACTAAAAATACAGTTGAGAAAAATCAATGAGACTAAGAGCTTGTTTCTTAAAAAGATAAACAAAATAGACAAACTGTTAGCCAAACTCACCAAGAAAAAAAGAGGACTCAAATAAAGAAAATCAGAAATGAAAGAGGAGGCATTACAACTGCTACCACAGAAATAGAAAGGATCATGAGAATCTGCTATGAACAGTTATACGCCAACAGATTGGACAACCTAGAAAAAAGGGACAGCTTCCTAGAAATGTACAATCTACAAGGACTGAATCGTGAAGAAATGGAAAATCTGAACAAATTACTAGTAAGTAGATCGAATCAGTAATCAAAAACCTCACCACAAAGAAAAGTCCAGGACCAGAGAGCTTCACTGGTGAATTCTACCATATATTTAAAGAAGCACTAACAACAATCTATCACAAACTCTTCCAAAAGATAGAAGAGTTGAGGAGAGTATACTTCCAAACTCATTTTATAAGGCCAGCATTACCCTGATACCAAAGCCAGACAAGGACACAAGAGAAGAAAATTACAAGCCAACATCCTTGATGAGCATAGCTGCAGAAATCCTCAACAAAATGTTAGCAAACCGAGCTCAGCAATACATTAAAAGGATCATACACCATGATCAAGTGGCATTTATTCCAAGGATGCAAAGGATGGTCCACCGTCTGCAAATCAAGCAATGTAATACACCATATTAACAAATGAAGGATAAAAATCATATGATAATCTCAATAGATGCCAAAAAAGCTTTTGACAAAATTAAACATCCTTTCATGATAAAAACTCCCAACAATCTATGTGTATAGGGAACCTGCTTTAACATAATAAAGTCCATGTATGACAAGCCCACAGCTAACATCATACTGCTGGTGAAAAGCTGAAAGCTTTCCTTCTAAGATCAGGAACGAAACAAGTATGCCTACTCTCACCACTTGTATTCAGTATACTAGTGGAAGTCCTAGCCAGAACAATTAGGTGTGGAAAAAAAATAAAAGACATCCAGATCAGAAAGGAAGAAGGAAAACTGCCTTTATTTGCAGATGATATGATATCATATATAGAAAACTCTGAACACTACACCAAAAAAAAACCCCAAACTGTTAAACTTATAAACAATTTCAGTTTTAAAGTTGCAGGATGCAAAATCAATATACAAAAATCAGTTGCGTCTCTAAAACACTAAGAACAAGCTATCAGAAGGAGAAATTAAGAAAACAATCCTATTTACAATAGCATCAAAAAGAATAAAATACTTAACAATAAACTTAACCAAGGAGGTGAAAAATCTGTACACTGAAAACTGTAAGACATTGATGAAAGAAATTGAAGAGGATACAGATAAATGGAACGATATTCCATGTTCATGGATTGGAAGAATTAATATTGTTAAGATGCCCATACTACCGAAAGAGATCTACAGATACAATGCAATCCTTATCAAAATTCCAGTGGCATTTTTTACAGGAATAGAAAAAGTAATCCTACAGTTTGTATGGAACCACAAAAGACCCTGAATAGCCAAAGCAATCTTGAGAAAGAAAGAGAAAGCTGGAGGCATCACAGTTCCTGATTTCAAACTATATTACAAAGCTGTGGTAATCAAAACAGTAAGTTACTGGCATAAAAACAGACGCAAATATCAATGGAACAGAATAGAGAACCCAGAAATAAACCCATGCATATATGGCAATTAATTTTTGACAAAGGAGCCAAGAATATAAAGGGGTAATGGATAGTCCCTTCAATAAGTGGTGTTTGGAAAACTGGATATCCACAAGCGAAAGAATGAAACTGGACCCCTATCTTATACCATACACAAACATCAACTCAAAATGGATTAAAGACTTGAACATAGAACCTGAAACTGTAAGACTCCTGGAAGAAAACATAGGGGGTAAGCTCCTTGACATTGGTCTTGGCAATGATTTTTTGGATTTGACACCAATAGTAAAGGCAACAAAAGTAAATATGAATAAA